CCCCCCCCCCCCGAATTCCGGGCAATAAATAACACGACTCGTTCTTAATCATAAAATACTTAACACCACTCCAGTGAACTTCACAAAGTAAATCTTTTAGTAGACCTACGAAAGGTTTCTTACAAAATCTTGCTCTTTGTCGTTCATAAAGAACTCTTGCAGTTTAGCAGACCAGTTGTGTCGGGGCCTGATAAGTCCTTGACACCCTCCTGAACACATGTAACACACCCAATTGTCAGCTGCGGCAATCTACACAAGAAGAAAGAACACAGTTTTTAAAATCTGAGTGAGATTGGACTGTGATTAGAATTAACTCACAAAACTATGAACATCTTAAATGTCTGGAATGATCAAGACATGCAAGCAAACCACAACACCATAAATTAATTTTCGTAACTGCGTGTAGTTGGGTGTTTCTGCAACTGACCGTTTTTTTTTCTCGACAGAGTAACAAACCATATTTCTTGTAATCGTTTCACGTTGTCCTTCAGTAACGTGTTGATGATTTGATGGACGAGTCAACTGAGGACTTGAAATACAGTATTTCTTTTTTATTCCAAGCTTTCGCCGTTCTATGGCATTGTCAGGGAATATAAAGAAAACATTCAACTCAACAGATGTCCATATTTATAATGGTTATAGGACTGAGCGGAGTCCAATTCGGTCTGCTATCCTACGAGTGATTAAAAAAAAAAATCGGACGACTGCTGAGGGGGAGACCGATTTGTTAATCACGAGCGTGATTACAGACAGAATTGGACGAAACGAAGTTCTGTTACCAATTCATCAACACTGTGTCAAAATTTGAGAAAGAAACTAGACATCGGCCATACGTTTTCACAAAAAAACAGCAACAGTGAACTCGGCGAAATGTGTGACAAAAACGCGCGCACATGACGCACACTGCTCAAATCGGGCTTGTGACGACCAATCACGTTCGAGAATTTTGTTATAGTTTTGGTTAATAATAGTACCGCAGGGTCTTCCTCACGCTCTGACCGTCAAATCTGATATACCAGCTCTGACCACCGACAAAATCAGCAACATTCATCTGTTTTGCTAACTCTCTCGCCTTAGGTCAAATCATGACGATAGTAACTGCACGGCTACATTCTCTCTGATTGACAATCCACTCTGTTAAGGTCGTTTCCAATGCGGGAAATTTTACGATTCCCGTACGCTGACCTTTTGGTTGTTTTGCCACAGCATCTTTTTTTTTTCGCCAGTTTCGGATCATGGAATCGTCTATTTTAGTCCCTCGAGCATGCTGCTCGATTACATATTACATAGTAATGGATGAAATTGAACTGGACCAATGGAACCTTGGACCATTTTTGGACCATTTCTTCAGACATTTTTTGAACCATTTCTGGACAATTTATTTTTACTATTTGTTATCGCCGCAGCACTTATACTCAGGGCTTGCTTACAAGCTATACGAAAAGTGCTTATACATAAAAGAGAGTATATTAGTCGTAATGCATGTGGTAATTTTTTGACGCATAGAAAGCAAAAAGCAAGTGAACAAAAGGTAGATTGTCATGTAATATTGTCACATAAACCAGCGCCTTAGTATTACTCATAGCAACAGTAGTTGTTTACTGATAAAATGCTCAGATTTCTCATGGGTAATCGTCCGCAAATTACAGTGCTTAAATTCACTCACCTCTTTGACTGCACTTCTACCACATAACATCCCTATACAGAGACTACAGTATGACCTGAAAAAGTCAATTGAGTAAATTTATAATCAAGTGATCTAATCTTACAAGTGAGGGTAGCTCTTCAGGACGGTAGTGAGTTGTTTGTTAGTCAAGTGACCGAAGTCTAGTTTGTGAAAAAACTAATTTTACAAATACAAACGGGGGTAAGTTTCTAGAGAAACTGTGGCGCTGCGTCCGTGGGAGACTGAGTACAACAGGGTAATTTAGTATTATCAACTGAGTCGATAACGTAAATTGGCCACCATAAAGAGTTTTTGCGAGCATTAGCCCCTAACCAGAGCGAGTGGCTACCGCTCGAGACGTCAGCTTTGAAACTCTTTACGATGGCCTATTTACGTTATCAACTCAGTTGCTAATACTAAATTATTATAATTTACTAATTAATATATCGGTTTAATGAGGCTGGAAAGTTATGAGTCCTGAAAAAGAGTCTTCAAGTTACACCTGTATTCAATTCAACTTAAGATGTATTTTGATTTAGTCCTTGCTAGTGTAAATCATCCCTTCAACCCACATTAACTGTGTCCTTCATCCACACACAGGCAAGGGGCAATACATAATGAGGAACCTGCAGGGGCTAAGTGATTCCCTTCCTCCCTGTTACAATGTAACTTGTTCTCATTATTCAAGAAATGTCTCAAGAATACTGCCCACGATTTGTACAAACTTTTACCTAAAGCAGCCAGTGTTATCACACATGAAAACTTCCTTGCCATCTCCACAGATTGTGCAATACATCTGACATCAAAGTGCAAGGTTAATGAGCAAAGTAATGTTAACTAATAATTCAGTTCTTTTAAAGATAATGTACATTGTTGGGAAAGTGAATTATTGACAAGCAGTTGAAAAAGGTAGTTCAACTGATGGTAGAAAAATTCTGGAAAAGTAATTTTTTGACTGTTAACCCTTCATCTTGCCCTCTGTAGCTCCACAAGATGGTTAACACTCAAAAAACTGCTTTGTAGCCTGTAATCAACTATACTGACATGTTTCACAAGATATGACAATAACTTTTAACTACAGAAAATGTCATGAACTACATCTGAGAATAATTAAGCAGGTCAGCAGAAAAGTCTGATATTTTCCAATTAAATGCATCCAACCTTTAAAGTTATTTTTAGAGTTTAAAAGGGTGACAACTAGGTAATCATAAAATAAAGAATAAATTAAGCCATCAGTACACACTTTACTTACCTGAGAACCATCTTCATCATATAGATAAACATTTTCCAAGAAAGAAGTCTAAAAGACATAATTAGGATTCATTTTAAAATCACCACAAGTCCTCAACACATGATATACATGAAATTACACACTTAAATATTAAAGTAGGTTATAATTATCATTTAAAAAGTTTGTGGTACCTTACATTCTTTACACAGACCTCCCTCAAACAATGGATGTTCAGTGAAAACTCTATCATCACCACATGCCAGACAGATACCTAGACAACAGCAACACAAAGAAAATACCATTTCGTAACTTAAAAAAAGGTGATGAAAACTGTCTAGCTTAAAATGGATCACTACCAAACTTACTGAATGACTTATTACTGAATGATTGACTGACTGAGAGTATGATGACTGACTGATTGACAATGACTGATTGACTGCAGAGCTGTGAACCAACTGACTGACTGACTGTATGACTAATTGACTGACTGACTGACTGACTGACTGACTGACTGACTGACTGACTGACTGACTGAATGATTGACTGACTGACTGACTAACTAACTGACTGACTGACTAACTGACTGGGTAATTTAGTGTTATCAACTGAGTTGATAACAAAAATTGGCCACATTAAAGAGTTTAAAGGCTGATGTTTCAAGCATTAGCCCTTCATCAGAGCAATTGCCTTGACAAAGGGCTAACAGCACTCAAAACATCAGCCTTTAAACTCTTTAAGGTGGCCAATTTATGTTATCAACTCCGTTGATAACCCTAAATTATCCTTTTATACTCTCCCACCGACACAGCACCATGGTTTCTTTAGAAACTTACCACCACTAACTAACTAACTGACCAACTGACTGACTGACTGACTAACAGAAGCCATGATAGGCTGACTGCAGACTGACTTACTGACTGACCAAAAGATTGACTGATTAATTGACTGACTGATTGTCTGATGGTCTGATAACTAACTAACTGATTAACTTACTGACTGACTGCCTAACAAACCAACAGAAGACATGTTATGGGCTGTTGACTGACTGACTAACCAACAACAAGTTGTGGGCTGATTACCAAACTGACCAGCTGGTTGACAAATTACTTCGAATTGACTGCCTGACTAGCTCACTGTGACTGACATCTGATAGATTATCCACCACCATCATCACTGAATAAATCCTTGACTTGCTGACCCACTGTTGACAATTTGTTTTTCCCAATTGTTGTCAACATCTTTTACTACTGAACAAACCTTAGCAAAGAAAATTAGTTTCAAATTAGGCAACACTCTAACCTGAAATTTTCTTTTTTCCATCTGCTACTGCATCAAACAGAGCTAAAAAATTTATACATACATTTTAATAATCCAGAATTCATAAAATACAATTTTCATGATGTTACTTTCTAGCACTTACATCTTTTTCTATCATGGTGAATGCATGTAACAAGGACCATGGTTGATCAGATTCAATCAGTGAAAAAATAAAGGTTGTTTATGTAATATCATGGTCTCAAATTAAAACGATTCAATTATTCCTGACATGTGCAAGCTGTATTTAAACCTGAGCAACACTCTCAATGTTAAGAAAAAGTAAAGCTCTAAAAAAAGAGATAATTAAAAGTTTATTGCATGTCTGTGAAGAGCCAGTTAGCCTGCAAAAAAATCACAATTACTTTTGCTGGTGTATTTACAATACACTTGGATGAAGCCACTTGGTCAACACCACCTGCGAAAAAGACTATTATTCACATGATTGACTGAGTCATTTGGGGAAAGGAAAATTTTTACCTTTGATATTTTCTGCCAGGTTTGGTTCATTGATTGGTTTACCAAAGCGTGCCTTTTGATCAGCAGTCATTTCCTCTGACGTCAGATCCATTTCATTTAGTGGTACTGGAGTGTCTACCATATCCTCTAGGGGTTGAGAAATAGTACTTTCAGTGACGGATACAATTCTGTTCAATAAATTTTCAAACATGAATTGTCACACCATTTTAATCCTTGATTTCTCTAATTGTAACATCATTTACCTACTATTAACTAATCTAACTAGTACAACAGAAGCATGCAAAATACCCAGCAACACTGTTAACTGAATTATGACTAGGAAACAATTTGCTCTAGAAGAAAATCAAGCAATTATTCCCTCTTCATCTCAAGCATTTATACAAATCCAAACTTTAAGAAATCACCTGGTTTAAGAATATACTAAAGGTTAATTTTCTGTCATAGAATTTGTGCATACAACAGAACTTTTTAGTTGAAAGGTTACATGCCATTGACTGAGAATCAGTGCTCCATAGAATGCACTTAAAAAGGTTTGAAGTGTAAAAGGCTAACTACTGATTTCATGATCTCAAAGAATGGCCAATGCTCTAAAAGAATGAGATTGATACAGCAAAGTTAAAAAACATGTCTTAGACATAATGATTAGGATGCAAACTCACTATAGTTAAATACAGGACATGATGAATGTGTTTAGACTGTTAAGAGGAACAATGAATGATTTGTTGCCTAATGGCATCCAGATTTCAAATCCAGCTTCTCCAGTGTGCCTAAATGATTTAGCAACCTTACTTCCACAAAACAAGACTACTCAATACTTTCCATTGTTAATAACTGTGATTAGAAACATGACAGTAGACATCAGAGGAGGTAATGTCTGACCATGTAAACACAGTCATGAGTAGTTCTGATTTACCTTCACTTGGTGCAAACCCTTCAGGGCCGCTTGGCTCAAACCCATTTAATGCCCACTGCACCATTATTTCAATTTTCTTTTTTTCACTAAGTTGTTCATCCTCTCTCTCCATCTCAGCGTTTGGTTCAGCCTTCTTTCCTGGTCTAGAGCTGCCTCCTCTCTTCCCTTTCTTTGACTTTTCTTGTTTGCTGCTCTTAGAGAACACTTTACCACATCTTTTTGCTGCTACCTAGTGAAAAAAAATGTTACATACCATAATGATTTGATTCAGCACCCTTGTTTCAATAAGACCCCCTTTCTATCAAGAGCCTCCCTCAAATTTCATGTTTGTTTTAATCTTCATCTTAGTCTCTCAACTATACTATGTTCATGTGAGAGCACATTTCCTTCAAACAAATAATCTCGTTTCAAATTGTGTGGTGATTGCTTAGCTGGTCAACCCTAGCCAAGAAGGATCAAGGGACAACAAATCTGTTTTCCAGTCTTCTGGAGTTTTTCAAAATAATAAACATCAAAGTTTTGTTTTGCATAGTCTGCTCTTTCTAAAAAAAGAAATAAGTTCCCCATCCCTAATAAGCATCCTGTCTTAAATAAGCTCCCTCTCTTGAGGAACCAAAAGTAAATAAGTGCCCCAGGGGCTAAAGTGAATCATTACCATGGGCAAGTTGAGTAAAGATTGCTAAGAGCTTCATTTATTTATATTTATTCTATACCAAGGATTTTCCCAAAAACAAAAAAAGGTTTTTTCAAAAGGTCCTGTTCTGCAAAGAGATTTCATACAATGACTATACAGTTTTTTTTTTTTGGGGGGGGGGGGGGGGTGAGTTCTTGGGAAAAATAATTGAACAACTAAATTAATTATTGACAGACTAACTGACTCATATAAAAAAAAACAAATACAGATAGACAGACAGACAGACAGACAGATAGACATATCAACAGACAGCCTGACTGACTAACATTTGGACTGACACCCTTCTCACTTATTGACTGACTGATATAAGAACAAACTACCCCTAAAATACAGGTAGACAGTCTGACTGACTGGTATCAGACAGACCAACATATAGACAAGCAGTCCACTGACTGACTAACATCTGGACAGTTGGTCCAGTGACTCACTGATATCTGGATAGTCAGTCCAGTGACTCACTAACTGAAATACAGACAGACAGTCCTGATCACTGACTTACTGACTGATATATCAGGACACAGACTGACTGACTGACTGACTGACATATGAACCAACAGTCCACCGACTTACTGACTGATATATGAACCAACAGCCCACTGACTTAATCCTTAACTGACATATAAACAGACTGACTGACTGATATATGGACAGATAAAGCCATACCTATGAAAATGAAAAGCATCAATAATAAATAATAGCAGGTACCTCTAAGCTGGTAATGATGGCTGTCTTATAAAGACCTCTCATCCTTGATAGGTGAAAACTCTCTTTGAACTCGTAAAGTGGCCGTAAACATACAACAGGAAGCTACAAAATAAATAAAAAAGTCTGGCCTGTTATTGTAATAAATATACATCTTTGGTTACTTGCATTTTAAGACTTTACAATGAGATGATAAGAAACCAACTAAGTATTTCTCTTTCCAACTGAATGTGCAAAATTAATATAGAGCTAGAACCCACATGATCAGTCAATTTGTTTGGGCTCTTTGTAAGTTCACTGACTAATAGTGCATTCTTGGCACCATTTTCCCTAACCTTAATATCCCAAATCTCTTATTATAATACCAAGGGAACATAAAGCAGGGTGTAAGATCTGTCTCCAAACAAACTAAACAAGATGGGGCTCAACCAGTAAATAAATGTTGGTAATGAAAAAATGTGTGTATTTGGTTTTGCTGCATGTCTGTTAACACTCTTTAACTGGGATTGGAAACATACACAGCCCTTCCTACTCTAAACCAACAGATCAACAACTACTTAGCAGTTTGAGCTTCCTTGCAATGTTAACCCATCACTCTTATTGGCTGATGTCATCGCTTTGGTATTAGCTTTGGAGCTGACACTAAATAAACTATAACAAACCATTGATATTTTGTTATCTCCAAACCACTTGATCCAATAAGAACCTTCCACAGCTGGGAACTTTTGTGCTTCAATATTGGAAATAACTTGCCCAGGCCACCAGTCAAATCCTTTCAATCTGCCCCAGATCAACTGCCCAATAAGATATTTGACCGGTTCTACCTGCGAGATATCAAATACTTTGCAACCTAGTAAATCTAACTCAGACCTTAAATAAAACTTGTATGGAGAAATATCAGGCAAATAGTCAGGAAACAATTGCTTTTTCCTACAAGCAGTCACTCTCAACAAAAGAAATATAAGAGCTATAATTATTTTAACACATTAACTCTAATGAGTGACCAAAACAGAATTTCTCCTTACATTATAAATACAATTACAAGCAGATAAGTGATGACCATAAAGAAAAATATCAATTGGGAGATTATCAGTTGATCCAATACCAAATTCTCCAAACATACATGATAAGAATTGTATCACAGATAGTAAGGAGAATTATTAAATAAATAAGACCTTAAGAGTGAAGAGATTAAAAAGGACCACAGATAGCTCAAAAGTTTTGTCTGATAATTTTCCTACTAAATTTGTCTCAGTGTCCACGTAAATTCCTGGTTCTTTTAACATTCAACAAAGCATTAACTTCATTATGCAAACCTACAAGACTATTTGAAGATCATTTTGGATCAATGTCAGTATCTGAGCAGCTGTGCACTTACCCCTCCCCTTAATAAACAGCAGTCAACTGATAATAAGTCAGGGTTAATTTTGAGCTAGGGGAGGGGTAGGTGTGCAGTTACTCAGATATGGACATTGATTCACATCAGCTATTTACCTCTTCATGATTGGCTGTCTCCTTATCACTGGAAGTGGGTGTGTGACCTTTTTTTAGTTGAAGAGGAGTGACAGGTATCATGAGATCACTTTTCAGGCGAAACTTTTTCTTGCTTCTGTAATCTGAGGCTGAAAAGTTCAGCTTCCTCTTGGCTCGCATCTTTTTTGTCATGGTACCTTGTTTGACTGTGTCTGAGTTGCTGGGGGTTGACTGTAAAGGCACAAAAGAGTTGTGAAAAAGTGACAGGAAAGAAATCCTTCAACTGCCCTGTGTAATAAGTCCATTGTAAAGTGGATTGGAGGAAATTTGAATATCTTCAAAGCTCTTAGCTCATATCTCTAAGAGCTTAAAAGATCACCTATGGCCATATCTAGTGATCATGATGTGTGAGTGTTCTCAAAAAACCATTACAAACGGAGGAAATAACACTGTGACTGTCTGGAACACATCCAGCAAGGAATTTTCTTTTTATCATTTGAAGTAATGTGATATTATGTCAATGAGTTGGATAATTATGCAACATTTTCCTGATGGAGGAGTTCTGTTCATGACCAGGGTCAGATAAATATAAGCCAGCATAAAAATCAGCCACAGCCAAGCTGGTGATGTGTGAGTGTTCTTAATTAAAAAGCCATTACAAATGGTGGAAATAACACTGTGACTCTTGAAGCAACTTACACAAATTTGAATTTTAAAATTTTTGGTAATTTTCATGCTTTTGATGTATATTTGATGCAATCTTTCTATGAGTTCAGGCATTCCAAAAAATTGTTCCAATTTGCTGTTTATGTAAATTTCATCTTTGACTACAATTGAGTACAAATATGAATTATCTAGAAAAGCCACAACAAACACATCACTCCTTTAAATACTTTCATCTTTTGGAATTTTAATTTACTTCTTACAGATAAATGAGGATATTTCGTGAGGCAAGATTTCATATCTGATTACACAATCAGCTGAATTTCCCATTCCAAATTCATTTACCAAACAAAGTTCTCTGAGCATGCAAAAAAGGGAAGAGGTATGAATAGCTCCAAATTCTCCAAAGGGGATGCATAACAATTAAATAATTTTCTGATGGCAAGAAAAGAAAGTTGATAAGGGAGATTGCTTCTGAAAACCACCTCACCAATGTGGATACCATGGGTAATATTAATCATTAACATTGTTCCTGTCATTGCTAATGACATTATCCTTGTCACTAACAGGTCACTGATACTTTCATTATCATTATCATTAAAATGTTGGTTTTGCTGTTTCTGTGTAGTCACTGTCAGTAACACTGTCTCTGTTGTAGTCACTGTCAGAGTCATTGTGTCTGTCACTGTCATTGTGTCTGTCACTGTCAGTGTCATTGCGTCTGTCATTGTCAGTGTCATTGTGTCTGTCACTGTCAGTATCATTGTGTCTGTCACTGTCAGTGTATCTGTCACTGTCAATGTCATTGCCTCTGTTGTAGTCACTGTCGGTGTCATGGTCTCTCTTATTGTCCCTGTGAGTGTCACTATTGCTGTCTTTGTCACTTTCATTGTCGCTGTCACTTTCACAGTCTCTGTTATTGTTATCCTGATTACCTTTGTCATTTATGTCATCACAAATTTGGGTAAGTTTCACATAATTTTATCTCATGTTTTTTCTTGTGAGATTTGATGTATTTAGTGAATCAAAATGGACCAGACTGAAGAGTGAAAAATATCTTTAAGAAATGTGAAGTACAACTTTGATATGCCATACCTTGAAGTAATAAATTAATCTTATGTTTTCATCATATGCACTGTACTTCTCTTCTACTTGAAGTTTGTTTATAAGGATTGTTCATCAATAATTTTAAGTCAACATACATGTATTTTTGGTATGTGCTCTCAGCTTCTCTCTGTTGTTTCTCTGTCTTAAAGTAATCATTGTAATTGTGATCATCCCTCTCCTTGTCTTCATTCACCATTCTCCCTGTTACTGTCACTGTAAATGTCACTGTCACTGTCATTGTTACTGTTATTGCCTCTGCTGTTTCTATGGTCATTGTTATTGTAATTTTCATTGTCAATATCATTATATCACTATGCATGTGGTAAATTTTTTCACCGATCACAACTTAAATTTGGTTAATTAGTTATTGAATATTTCGCGTTCTCTATTGCTACACAGGAGACTTGACAAAAGCTATCTTTGAATAACGGAAAACATGTCCAATCCAAAAAACTGGTAGGTCTGCGGTTCTTCCTCATATCAAATGAACTCTGCTCCTTTGTACAGTCAAAAACTGATTTGAAGTTCACAGTCAGCTTTCTATCGTAGACGAATCGAGGTTCTCAACAGTAAGCCAGAACCACGAAACCTTCAAATCTCAGTGCGAGTCACAAGAAAATTACCTTTCATGCACTTCCCAAGTTGTCCAATTCACTCGTACACCTCCCATTTGATTGATGAAATCTCGCAATTTCGAACCTAATTATTTATGTTTGTTTGTATTCGAAATATTATGCTTTTTCATTCGTGTCGAGCAAATTTACTCAACCCCGCATATGCTCATGACATAAAGTGAACATTTCAAAATCACTTCTACAGTACTTGGACACTGAACAGTGTGGTTTCGATATTGTCAGACTACAATAGCTATCATTTACATAATTGTGGAAAGATGCCAAAAATAGCTTTCTGTCGCATGCCTAAGGAGTCAATCTCCATATTCACCAAGACTGATTGTACTACTAATTCACTTCTTACATAGTATTTCATGGTACGGAGATTACATCTTTATTTTGTTTTGTACAAATAAGCTTCAAAATAATCTTCTCCAAAATGTACGCGCGTGTAACTGATCAAATTGGTAACGATATCCGCGATCTACTTAGACTCTACTTTCCACAATTTGTTCCAGCTCCTTCGACCCAGAACAGTCACTTCTAACGACCATTTTTGACTTTGGCTAGGAAATGACATGAGTAGCGATTGACATAAATCTTTCGTTAAGATTACCCAATTAAATAACGCTATAAAAACAAACCGTCATTGTCGTGTTATCTCTGCAAGAAACAGCTGATACCAACAAGCCTTATCGCTTATTTGCATAAACTCGAGCATGCTTTGTCTTTGAATAGTGTCCACAGCTAGTGACAAATAAACGTGACAAAGTTTATTGATCTAACCACACAACTGAAACAAAGACTGCTCCACCGGAATAATCAAACTGAAGGCACTTACCGCCATGCTGTGGGCAGCAATCTGATCTGATCACTGAATGTAAGTGAGCACCGATCGTGCCTAAATCCCTTCCAGCAAAAAGGACAACCAAGAAGCACAGGTAACCCAAGTTGTAGATATGCAAATGCTAAATTGCGCAATATGACACCTCTTACTTCCGCTCACTTATTACTGACCTTCAAGCGCGTCAAAACGTCATAAATAGCGTCAGATAACTTATGCTCGAAAATTCGAGCATCGTGCTTTTGAGTGTCACCCCTTGAACCATGACATTATGCCGAAAATTATGCTCAAAATTTTTCATAATGCTTAAATCAATTATTCATGATAATAGCCGTTAAGATGCCTCAAACTACACCCCCCTATTCCTACTACTATCAGGTAAAACTTGCTAACAGTAACTGGAAATATTTATTAAAGAACAAGCGAGAAAAACAAGGTCACTCTTGACATTAATCAGGCTACAGAATTTATCTCTTGTTAGACGGCAACATCGAGGGAAATTCTAGGAAGTTAATCATTATGTCAGCATTACGTTCGATGCTCTGACTGTAGCATTCGAAGTTTCAACATCCCCCCCTGAGCAACCCCTGGGTATTTGAACTTTTGAAGATTGGCTTGTCCAAATTCCTGACCCTACCCCCCATCAGGTTAAAAATTGTATTTAGATGCACCGCTCAGATTTTTCATAAAACGAAAATCTGGTGGCCGTGACTTTCTGCACATTGACAAAGCCTTGCTGACCTTTTCCCTTTATCGCAGTCATTCGCTTGTGAAAGTGAATTGTTTACCTTTAAACACCCCCGTGTTAAAAAGATATAACGCTTGTCTTGTATTCCGCTGGGAAGATTTGACACCTATGGTCCAAATTCTCCATCCCAGGTAGGCAAGATCTAAATCCGTCCTCCCCCCCAGGCATGGACGACGATCAAATACCTGTGGGTTACCAGTAAGGGGGGGGGGGGGGG